TTAGCCAGTAGTGCACGACATCAAAAGGTTTCATATATTTACCCAGGTGCATCCTTACTGCTGCTTGGGCTGGGCCCTTTCATAAGTGCAGTCTGTACCAGGCCAGTTAGACTGGCTATCTGTTTCTCCATGGCATGCATTCTGTCTCTGCAAAACAAGGGAACAGCCAATTACTAGTCTCTGCGCTTGTGAGAATATGGCAAAACCGAGTTAAAGGGGAATAGGTCACGAGCCAAAATACCGCGACTAGAAGCATTGGGTAGAAGCTGCCATCCTCAGACTTTCAGGGTTGCGCACTAGCTTCGGAGCAAGAACATCGCTTTCCGGGAAGGCTAAACGGTTGACCTAGTCTGCCATCATTCACCATTGGAGTCAGAACAACAGCAACTTCCATCAGAGCTTTTCACACGGGTAGTTTGCTTTGTGACGGATCCCCTTTAAAGAACTCCAGGCAAATGTAAACCTTGTTTTATTTATATGGCGCTGACATATTACGGAGCACTGCACAAAATGCACACAACCACTGACATCTGTTTCTTTGGAGAGTGGACAATGTAATGATTCCAACACACACACACATTTTTGGGTCAAATTGATTATACATCAATTTCTCCCCATTTCTGGATGTGTCGGAGAAAACTGGAGAAGAAACCAAAACAAACATGGCGAAAACATACATAATTTGTGGTGGATACTCGAGCCCTGGACACAGTGCTGCATGGCCAGTCTGCTTCCCTGTAATCTACATATTTTCCTTATTTGTATTCATTCCTCTTCATCTTCTGCACAACACATTACACTTTATATAGGGAGACAGAGCTAAAAAGAAACCTTACCTAAAAATTATCATCCCAAGGTGACTGGTATGACCTTCATTAGCAAGGAAGAGTTACATACTTTTCCCGGGTTGGTGACTCAAACCGTACTGAACCTAGTAGGTCTACTCAGACAACCAGCCTCTGTAGAAGCAGGTTGGTGATGGCAGCCATCATGCATCTCTCTGGAAAGGTTTCCTCTTTAAATGACTAATGTACTTCTGCTTTAAATCCCCCAGTACAGATACAAGATAGAGCTCATCACCACCGTCTAGTCTGCAAGGAACCTCACAGCAGCGTCAGAACGCTGATGCCTGGCTTTACCTTCCCAATATCTGTTTCACCAAGGGTTAGGTTTAAAAGAATTCGCATTTCTTTGAACTAATATGGTGATGGGTCAGGACAGAGGTCCTGGTTCAGGACAGAGGTCTTGGTTCAGGACAGAGCTTAGGAGATCAAAGTTTGGATTTAGCAAAAAGGAACCTAAACTTAAAAATAGTAAAAAGCTAAATCAAACACCCCATGCTACATTAGAGTAGTAGTGAGATGCCACTTACCGCCACCCTCCCTGCTGCGGGGACTGGAGTCCTTTTTTTCAGGCTTAAGTTGGGCTCTTTGTATTTCTGTATGGCAGCAGAGCGCTTACCCCAGTCTAAACATTCTGCCAGGACTTCACAGCTCCCATCCAGTTATTAGGAACGAAAGACTACAACTCATTTCATGAGCAAGATTGACCTAACTGCCGCTATTACAGGATGGCACTGTGTTGGACTTCCAGTGACAGGGTCTCTTTAGGCCATTCCACAGCCCCAAATAAAGACTACCAATAAACAGTTCCTTTAAACAAACCATGTCATTTACAGATGCTTTTAATTCCATTCTGACCATGTAATGTATTTTTCAGACTGCGTTTATCCAAAATTACTCTTAATTTAATTTTGATTATAAACTCAATAATAAAGAGATCACATTCTCGTTAAAGCATCTTGAACATGTCATAAAATACAGATGGAGAATAAAATGTGTGTTTTCTAAGCTGCAGAGCGGAGATCTCCAGCTATTTCTAGGTTGGGTAGTCTGGAAACAATTGTGAATTTTAAGTAAATTATGACTTCTCAAGGATGGTCTTGGCTTAGTCCGGTAAACCACAGCATATATCATACACAAAGGAAAGAGTCTGGAACTCATGCGGATGTACAAAAAACGTTTTTTTTTTCCTCCAGCGATTTCTACTATGTGAGATGCGCTGAGATGAGATAAAAGGAGAGTGAACTACAATGTCTCATGTTTTATTCCATCAGGTATGGAAAAGTTCGGGATGTTATTATCACTGGATGAAAGAACACAGCTGAGGAGACAATGGCCTTTCTGTAAAGTGCACCTGCAGGTTTGGGCCTAGTGCTAAACTGCATAGCAAGATGGTAGTGAAGGTGGGCAAGTCCCTTGTTTCTTTAGTCTTTTCTGAAAGTTTCAAAGGAAACTTGTTCTTTGTCCATGCAGGTCAAAGCTACTGGTTCACTTTCATGCCCCCCATCTCCGGCAGCGCAGATTCACCATTCCTTCACTCCCTGCTGGAGCGTTCATCCACCAGGTGCAAAGAAAGACAGCCCTGCATAAGCTCCAAACTACTCCACTCAAAGCTTACAAAAGTCTGCAAGTCACATTCGGCCCTAGGAGAACCTCCTGGAACTTCAAGTTCTTCAACCCTCAGGACAGAGCCGATTATCAATCCACATGAGCGCTTATTTTAGTTTTGGGTTGATGCTGAGCTGACAAAAATAGGATTTCCGTGCTCACCTTCCTCAGTTCCAGCTTTGGCAGCCAGGATTGGGACACTTTTATATGATATGTTGGTAAAGGTTGAATTTCAACCACCAGAAGAGAATAAAGCTTTTAAGTGTGGGAGTTGCCCAGTAAGTAGGTATGAGAAAGTTGGAGTGAAGGTTTCTAATTTTGATGGGTCCTAACAGTATAAAATAAACAATTTCATCAACTGTTCAACAACAAAGGTTGTGCACTAGCTACCTTGTCCATGCCAACTAAAGTATATAGGCAAAAGAAAAATAAATCTGGGGATTTTGGGTAATGAAAAGAGTTCAGTGGCAGCACATTTTATGACAAGGCTGCAAGGGATCTATAGTCATAATAAAAGTCCTAGGTGTGGGAAATTCCATCAGATCCTTTATCAAAAGGAAAGTGCATGGATTTATCAATGTTCTACTCTTCAGTACAAGGGGTTAAATCAAGAGCTGAAATTGGGAATGTTCCTGTAAGAAGTGTGGTTCAGTTTATAAATTATTAGATAGACATCACAGGTATTGATATTTGCATTTGATAAGGATTGTAAGAGGGGTAAGAGGTAAAAGAAGATGTGGTATAATCAGACAATGAAAACTGTTCTGGAGAGCCCAGCCCCTGGGCGGTGTGTACTAAAAGAGTAAAGGTTAAAGCCGGGGAAAAGGATATTATACACATCGCACTGGGTCCCATCCTCCAATCGCAGAACACTTTCCATCTGTCACTAGCAAAGTTAAGTGTAGGAGTCGGCATGCTGCTATACTTTATGTAGCAGCACCTCACACATAACATAGCAGCTTTTTAATGATTATTTGCACATCCAGTAGGGAATTTAAAGGCGCCCAGCAACTATTGTCAATGAGGCCACTCCTGGCCCAAACGGTCTACTCACATAGTGAGTCTTCAGAAACAGGGCAATGTCAGTGGCTCTGGACCTGGAAAGGACTCTGCAGATGACTTGTTACCAGAGCACATTCTGGAAAGTGCCCTATGCAAAACTCTGTGCACAAAGATTACTTCCAGGCTATCCTTGAATAGTCCAACAGTCGCAGCACTCCAAAAACCAGGACAGCCATGCCTGATAGCGGCAACTGAATAGACCAGATCTAGCAGCGGTGTAGACAAGTCAGAAGAAAAAAAATTGAAGAATAAGAAAACATGGAGCAAGTAAAATAAGGTTAGTCCATCCTTCTAGGACACTAACAAAGAACTGAGGCATGCTGGAAGTATCCTGGGCTGGCCTACAGTTTTTTGGTTTGCCGTTGTCCAATCTTCTGATAGGCGACAGTATAACTTGGACTGAGAAAGCAGAAAGAGTACTATGGATTCTTTTTTCTGTAGCAGGAGGGGTGAAACTCCATAGTGTGGACAGACTAGAAAGGTCTTTGATGGGGAGATCATAACACTCGAGTCCCCAGCAGATAGAAGTAGATACAGGGCTGTAACTACAGATCTCATGGCCCCATAGCAAAAATATGATGGGGACCCCCCTGATGATCTCTCTCTGAGCTGTGAGTAACAATGCCGAGATCCCAAAGACTCTTCTTGTGCATCTAAAGTTATCTCTGCACTTTAGACTTTATAAGGGATTAGAGTTGTCGACAGCTGCAACCACTCCAAACCTTAATGATACAGCACTATATTATCTTCACATATGTTTAATTTTCCTCAACAACCTAATGGGGCTCCCTTCCACCCACCTGGGCTGCTATGGCAACAATTATGCCACTGAATAGATAGAATTAAATGTACCAAAGCTCAATCCAATGTAAAATATCAGTTTAGGATGGAAAGACCCTTTTATAGTGGCTTTCTATTTTAAACCTCTTGGGAAGAAAAAATACAAAAAGCCTCTTGCCCCTCTTGATAAGGGAAATGTAAAAAATAATCACAGTGTAAAGTCTGAGCTCTGATTTCAGCTAATGCAAAAATGTGGGATTGTTTTCAAGCTGATAAAGTACTTCTGCACTGCACATCATGGCATGGAACCAAATGTGAAAAACAGCTCAGACATCTAGAAATGCTATCGGCTCCTGGCTTCACTGTTCAAAATGACTGACTTATTGAAGGATTACAATAAAATGAGTCCTAGTTTATTTCTGCTTGAAGAGAATCTGTCAGTGAAAAATAAACTGCTGCAGATATACAGCGCATGGACCTAGCAGTGCCTACACAGCCCCCAAAAGTCTGCTGATACCGTCAAATGTCAGGTTATGCTAACAGGCAATGCCCTGACTCTTTTGAGTAGAACCAAAGCTTGCCTGCCCCTTCCTACCTCCTGCACATTCATATTGGCCAGTGAAGCAGCCCATCAAAGCGATGGACATAAATGTGCAGGGCAGAAGGTAGCAGCAGGCTCCAAAGCTATCCAAAGTCAGAATGGCCTGAACTGCACTTGTGGTCATTTTGTATCTTTCTGATGGAGGTGGGAACAATATTCCATGTCATGAAATGATTGGGGAGATCCCTAATGTTTCAGCCCTTGCTTGTACCCCAGTTTCTCTGCCTGGTCAAACCCTTCAAAAATGAATTAGGTAACAGCAAAACATAGAAGATAAAAAAGATCTAAAAGAAGAAACATTATCTAATGGAAACTTGCCATTGCAGACTTCTCCTTCTGAAAATATTATCAGTTGCAAGAACAGGAATTGAAGAGACATTAAGAAATACTCTATAATGAAGCAGTAATTTGAACAAACCAATCAGATTTTAGATTACCAGTATCTGATTAGTAAAAGACTAATTTGTATTGGTTTGCTAGAAGTTACTGCTCCTTTGCTTTATTAATCGAGCCGTGATTTGATGTGAGCAGAAAATGTTCTATCTAGCTTCTCATTAAATACTGTGTACTGTTTATTCCTCATGAATGTTATCAGCCATCATATTGCATACTGATTAGATATACACCAGCCTCTACATATTATTTCCAAAACAACCAACGAAAATAGCTAAGCAGCTATTTCTGGTAGTAGAAGTATAAATTAAACACTGATGATAAGATATTTTATAGGCAGATTATTTGTAAACTAACAGGTTGGGGAAGGAAGGAAAGTGAATTGGGAAAATTGATGCTCTAATATAAATTATTAATAAACCAAAACTTTAATTAAGGGTGTTTATATTGGCTCAGGCTCAGCTGTAATAAGATAGAAGTGTCTTAGAATGGGGCAGTTTGTATACAAGCCATGATAAAGGTACCTAATCTGTATGCAATTATTCCCACTATATACACACGGGAACATTTGTTTTTTTACTCTAAATAATTTTTAAATTGTCGGTTAAAGGGGAACTGCAATCAGTACGATGCCATGAATGCAACCTGGTGCTGGTATAATATAATGGAGTAACCTCTAATGTAATAGAGTTACATCATCACTGACTGGCCAATAGGTCAAAAAGGAAGACATCATATACGGAAGAAGATGGCAGTTGTGTGGGCGGAATGACTACAGAGATCACAGACTTGTCAGCGATGGAGGACAGCAAACTGAGATATCAGTTTTGGGTGGTCAGTCCAGAATAAAAAGTGATATTTTAGGTTAAAGCACAGTGGGCCAGCCCTTGCCTTCTTATAGGTCTTGGAAATCCCCACAACAATATCTCTCAATAATTATATACATATAGTTATAATTTCTGAGTGGGGTTCCTTTATAGTGGCCTCAACAGGTAGCCCAAAAATGTCACCAAAAGAATACTTAAAGGAGAACTATGAGGCGAGTGATTTCCACCCATCCTCATAGTTAGAGCCAACCTTTGACAAAGAAGCTGTCACAGGTCGGCTCTATCGATCGGGATGTGAGCAGAAACATGCTCACTTCTCGATCGTCTCCCTGCAGTGAGCAGTGACTGTCAGTTCCCGCTCCCCACAGGGAGTCCCTCCCTCTCCGATCCTCCAGCGCTGAGTGGAGGAACGAACATGGGAGGGGGTGTCAGGAAAACGGTCCAGGGCAATCATGTGCGGTTGACACTGGAGAAAGTGAATGTAGACAGGAAGTGGCTGAAAGAGGCTGGAGGAGCTGAGCAGCACTGAGATGGGAAATGGGATGAAAAACAACTGACAATAAATATTTTATTTAAGGAAAATGGCCACTTTTTAGGACACAAGTGTGCTCTGGTAAACTAAATGTCATTCAGTTAGGGTTTAGATCTACTTTAAAGTAGATGCAACAATTTAGAAGCCACATTTACGCAGCTCCTGCCTAGATATTTCTAGCATTCCCCACATGATATATGCATCTCAATCCCACCTGGTCCACCTATGTTTGTCAGATTTGGAAATCGCCCTGATCAGACGTCCTACTGGCAAGAAGAAGTCTCAGGTGGATTGATCTACAGGTGTTTGGCCAGCTTAAGATCTCCTGACCCAACAATCAGCCAAATGATGAGAGCACTGCTGCCTTAGCACATAATATATGCTTTATTTATTTACACTTCCATAGCTTAGCAAAATTGTACATACAAATCCTAAATGCATCAAGCTCCCTCTCCACATACTCCAGGCACAATGCCATTACAGGGGAGCCACAGAACACTTTCACTGGGCTGAAAAGAATAATTGCCATAGTCATATACATTCAGCTGAGAGAAAACATCTGTGTATTGAAGATTTGCCGGGTGACAAGTAAACAGCTGCAGAACAGAGGTTTGCACCTCAGAGCCACTGTCATAATTTCTGTTATTTTATATTGCTCTTCTACGGCAAGTGACTAAGCCATGAGCAGCGCCACTCTTTGTAGACAATTAAGAATCTTATAACCCTCTATAGGTGGTAGGGAACTAGCGTCTTAGGGCAGTGGGCAACCTCCACCTCAGGGACGGTGTGGAGGCATTTCAAGTGCTGCTGCATGTGGCATATTAGGCAGTAAGGTTCCTGGTCACAACTTTTTTTAAACTGAAGCATGCTACATTTTGGGTTCTGCTGATCTTTAGTACAGTGGACCTAAACTCAAGTGAAGATGCATCTTATAGAAAACATCTATAAGTGTTAACTGTGCCTAAGCAGTGTCCTGAAAAACTACTTTCTGCTTTGAATTCCTTCTGAAAAACAGCAGTACAATTCCAGTGCCTAGAGCCTCACATCTGAATATCTGTACTATGAGATCATCTTAAGCACCGTTGCCTCTGACTATAAGTCTCATGAGATTTGAAGCAAGATTTGGTGATGTCACTACTGTGCTGCTTACTGTTGTATTTGCTGGAGGGGAAGCTGTGTCTGAGGACATTTAGTGCAAGGCTCTCCCTGCTTCTGCTTCACTTACTCAGTGGATCTATGCTGTCTCCACCTCTCCAACTACTTCTGGAAAATTTCCCTGCCAATCATCAGATCACCAGCTATAAAGGTTGCCACCTTTTCTAAGAAAAAAATACCTATCTTACGATTTATTTTTTATTAATACCATTGAGAGCAAGCATCGTTTTACCACCTAGCAACCCTACCAGTCATCAGGAAGGCAGCTCCGACATAAGAAAGCAAAGCCCTGCCTCTACAAGGATAGTTGCCTCCACACAGGGACACAGTGCAGAACAAGACAAATCAGAAAAAGGGACAATATTAGCAACAGGGAGCCTACAGGCAATACTAGTGACTATCTCTTTGCCTTCTGCTTCTCCCCTTTTTGGGGCACAGTTTCCAGAGTACAGGTTCCCTTTAATGGTGAAAATTATTTTCCTTCAGTTTGCAGGTTTATAACATTTCTAGAGAGACAGGCACAGGCAACAGACTTGAAAAACTTAAAACTCATGTGTGGTCACCTCTTTTTCTCTACATGTCAGAGCTCAGTAGTTCTTAACCAAGATTTAACAAATGATCTAGTCTCACTATGCAATAGGAGCAACCCCTATTCTTCACTATGTAAGCTGAAATAATTGCATGACTTACAAGAAGGGCTTGCAGATAAAACATTTTCAGACCTTGGATTACATATTAGCTCCTCTTACATTAAAACTAAAAAAAAGTGTTAATGTGCCATATTTAGTGATATTATATACAGCTTTGTATCAATAAGTATATATTAAAAGGTGCAGGAAAGTCATATTACATTTGAAGAGAAAGTCAGGATTGGAAGCCGAAGCAAACCAACATTGGCATTCTGCAAAACCACAGCAATATTGTTTTTCGACCATCATTGCTTTTTGTCCCCATTGACAGCACAGCCATGAATAGCCCCACATGAAACACACATGCAGTTAAGTTAGTTATCCATTAGAAAAAAATAAAATACATGCATTTCCTTACAGAAAAAAAACCGGTAGGCATCTAAACAAATAATGTTTGTTTGACCATTTTGTTATTGAGCAAGCAAGTGAATGCAGCATTTTAATTCAAACTAGGACATCATGGCTCATAATGCCAAAGTCTGTATTCATAGGCTGCATTTTCACTTCAAATCATAAAATGGCTGACTTTTTTATGCATCATAGTAAGTGTATAGCAAGATTTGGTTATCTTGAGTATGGCTCTTGTGTTTTGGAGCCCCTAGCTCGAATGCTTAGGTGCTGTAGTCCTAACACTATTAAACTGCCCACAGCAAAAATCCAGGCTCAGAGTTAAAGAATCCAGCGGTTAAGCTGGTCCACTTTTAGTAAAATCGAAACTTTTTTTTTTGTAATTGCATACACACCTCCCAATGCAGTACAATGTGAAATCAGAAATAATTCCAAATACCCAAACCACACCCGGAAATGTCTATGCACTCCCTCCAGCCACACTTATTTCTAGTAATCCCCAAACTTAAAAAGGCATAAAAAGTTGGAAGGTGTGCATACAGACAGATTTTACAATATATTTGGCTCCATTTATGAAAGAGTCCATACTGCCCATAGCCATACCCAAAAGAACAAAACCTCCATAAACAGCCACAATGACATAATAAAATAGAATAATATTTTACTAAAATAGGGGGGAAAAAACATAAATCCCTAACCTACACCATCAAATAGGTCTAGGGTCAGGGCTATTTAGATAGGTAGAAAATGTATTTCTTAATAAAAAAAAGTTTGTACTATATCCTAATAGTGCAACTGTTAATATGAATTTGGTTATCTTGAGTATGGCTCTTGTGTTTTGGAGCCCCTAGCCCAAATGCTTAGGTGCTGTAGTCCAACAGTATTTAACTGCCCATAGCAAAAATCCAGGCTCAGAGTTAACAAATCCAGCGGTTAAGCTGGTCCACTTTTAGAAACGAGCCACTCTATAAAATTCATGTCATAACAGGAACTCAACTGGACATAATAATCAAGAGAGAGTGTCAATTGACCACAAAGGAGGCAAATAGAATATAAAACCATTAAATAGTCTACTTACCGATTATAAATATCTTTTTGTGCTGCTAAAGGAACTCCATATCCACTGAATACTTGTTTTTCAGTAGGAGACGGGACAATATCGGCCATGCCTAGTATTCCACCCGTGTTCCGGACCTTGGCCTCCACAAAAACTCCAGGCCCTTGATCTTTTTTGAATGACTGTCGGATTGGAGAAGACCTATCGCTTTGCATACCATGGGGTGGCACATGTGCATTGTGACCATGCATTTCCATCATCCTTATATCTGTCACCCTGTGAGGAGAGGCAGGAGGAGTTTTCGAGCCAAGTTGAGGCAAATGACTTTCCGAGTGTTTCCGAGACTTTTGTCTATAAACCGATTGTTCCATCATCTCCATTTGCATAGAAGAGTTTGAGTAAGTGCTAGAAGATCTCATTGCTCCCCTGTGGAAAGCTAGAAGGTGGTCGGGCATGTCCATTGGGTGCCCACCATGGGACGATGCAACACTCATGCGACCTTCATGGTACAAGTAAGGATCCACATACATGCCATCGTTGCGCATTAACTGGACATTTTTGTTTCCCAGATCCTCATCTGGTTTCACATCCCTCCTTTCCAAGATGGCACTAGGGCTGGGTGATATGGAGCGGGAGACTGGTAAGCTGGATATCCTTTCCCTTTGTATCGTGGTGTTGCTCGGCCCCACCAGTGGCCGTCCTCCATAAGGAATTCTTGACGGAGATGGTGGCATGGAATGCGGCACGGGAGTAGGAGGTGGAGATATTGGGCCTCCATGAGAGGGATATGTTGCTGACCCAGGCCGGTGAACTGCTGGGCCCTCTCGAACTGAATATGCAATATCTCTTTGCATCTATGGGGAAGAAGAAATACAAAATTTAGCATATAATTTATATCAACCTTTTTTTTGCATATTTTAGGGAAGGATTAGTCACGCTGTCTGTTTTTTTCTTGCCATTCTTGTCCCTCTCTATTTGTTCTGGTAATTTCTTTCACCCAGACTGAAAGTGATGCACAGTCCAAAATTTTGAGCTGTCCCCGAAACAGTAATAAAACAAATGACAATTGTATATGACACATATAACTTTAGAAAAACGATATCCCATTTTGGGTTTAGATCTCCTTTAAACATTCTAGAAGGAACTATTACATTCAATTGCTATGCTCCTTCATCGACTTGTGACCGCGGGTCTGGATGTACATCCAAACTGACAGTGGTTGAAGTTTTTTAATTTTAGCACAATATGACTGTAGCAAAATATCACATGCTGCTGAAACAGATTCAGATCATGTGGAACTTACCGCAAGGAATATTTTGCTGCAAGTGACGTTCAGGGAAAGTGAGCTGGTAAAATTAGGCCGGGGAATTTTATTTGTTTCTTTTTCAAGAGCTGGGGCTCAAGTTACATAAGCTACATCCTGCACATGGAAATTAATATTATATAACAGCTTTAAAATGACCCTTTCACTAGCAAAGTTAAAGTAAACCTGTCATAAAATAAATACGAGGGCGATCACTGCTGACCTCATTCTGAAAACCAACCTGTCTAGCTGTTATGCTTTCTCATTGCCTTCAGTACTTTTTGATTCACTGACCCAAAACAAGCACGCAGAACAGAAAAGTCAGAGGAAAGACGTTCTGGTCTGTGTACTTGCTCTGGGATGGGACAGCATAGCAGAGTCCAGAATGTTTAGGAGGAAAGGTCATCAACGGCAGCACATTTTTGTAATGAGTGATTTTCTTTAGGACGCAAAAGAGTGTACTTTGCTTTATTATTTGTTGCAGTCTATCTAAAGCCATTTTGTATAGAGTAGGGAAGGGTAAAACCCCTTTATTTATTTATTTTTATTTTTGCTATCCCTTTAGGGAGATTTCTCTTCCTGTGTCACTGACACACAACAAAAAGTTAAATTATATTTCTCCAATAGGAGGGGAATCCTGTCCATACACTGATTGATTTTTGTATGAGCGTTCATCCGAACAATCTCATCAGACTAATAATGTCATCAGAGACTTGAGGAATGTCATTTGAGATTTTGTTTGGTTTTATCATTGGATTTTGGAATGAAGGGAGTTTTCACGAACGAGAAAAAATTCACTTCTAGGATTACGTTCGATCGAGAACAAAATTCCATTCTGCTCCTTTGATTTTTTTCCATCACTGCCGTCGAAACTGATTGTCAATTAGACCCCATTAACTATTATAAAATCACACGAATGTTCCAAAAACTATTTTTATCTAACGAAATTCTAACCGTGTTTAGCCAACTTTAGACAGCTGTTCCCAGAATAAATGTTCCCATTGGAAGATTTCTACTCACCTTCTATTGGAACTGGTTACCAGGACAAACAAAGATGCTGACTCTGGACTATAGACAACAATATAAGTCTGAGAGAGGTTCTAACCCTTCATGACTCTAGCCAAAACTCAAGAAAAAAATGTTGTGTTTATAAACACTATAAAACACTATAAAATCTATAGTAACTTTGTAAGAAGCTTTATTCTCTGCCACACAGTGGTATGAATACTCATTGTGATAATTATTAGAGTCATATCTCATAGTTACTATGATCATCACTACTAGACGAGTCCTACAGGTAGTGCTGTCAGATATCGGTAACACACAGTCTTATTCAGTAAAAAAAATAAAGGGAAGTGTCTACTACAACCAAACAGAATTCAAATTGCTCTGGTTTGGTTTTAACATGGAGAATTTGATTGGTTGCAAAAGGTTAACATGTCTTGAGTTCTTTGTGCTACACATTGACATTTGACATAAGAGGTGATTTTGAAAGAAAATATTAGCCCCATACCAATATCCAGAATTCAGAGATGACCTTGATTTCAGTTAAATTGCCATGGACATGTGAAAGGAATGGAATTCTAGCACTGAGAAAAGTTAGGCTGGGAGCATATCCAACACCCAACCTGCAGCAAATTGACGACGCAGTATGAGGTCTACTGAGGTAAGCATACAAATAACTGATGACTGCCGCATTACAAACACCGCCATCCACATGCATTATAATATCAATATATGTCAATACTTTGCTAAAGGCTCTTCAGTATAGAGCTGTCCAATCCAAAGCTTTAGTGTTCATGTGTACTCCATAACATATTTTGTTTGTCCAAGAACTTGGGTGCAATAAAGAGAAATGTCTTGTCAGTTTTGTTCATTTGGGATCATTTTACTTGCTGCAACACCAAGTTCATCTCCAGATGGCAAATCATTGTCTTTTCCTCTACTCGTTTAACCACCAACATTGTTAGTATGACATTAGCCGCAGGCTGCAACTCCGGGAATCACAAAATAACTGGTTCCAGTGTGGTTCTCCTTGGCATAGATTAAAGAAAAACCGCAAGGCACAAAAATCACAGAGCAGCAATGGATGTGCTATGCTCTGGTTATAGAATATACCTTTACTCTTCTTTCTTTTGTTGCTTAGAGAAAGAAATAAGCATATTATTCCAGTCTATCATAATCACAGCAACTTATATGTATCTAACTTTCTGAGATGGAAAAGAGGGGAACATTATAACTCAAAATAGATAGACAAAGGACAAACTCCTGCCACCTCCCTGGTATGCGATTGACAAAGTATTAATACACAAAAATGTATTTGCTAAACTGACAATTTTTTTGTATTACATTTCCTTTATACAGACTTTTCAAAATATTTAGAGGCTGGGAGGAAGGTTAGGTGTAGTATAACACTAACAGGGTAAGTCACAGAAGGGTGAAGAGTTTGGAGAAGGCCGGAGAAGTGAACAATGTAGGACAACATAGCTGAACTGGAAAGTGAGCTGAATTGGAGATTTTTTCCAAATCAGCTATGTTGTCCTAGATTGTTCACTTCTCCTGCCTTCTCCAAACTCTTCACCCTTTTGTGAATAACACTGTAAATAATTAACAGTAAATACTTTTTCTTTAGATGTCTATACAATAAACCAAAAAAAAGGGACAAAATAGGAGGAGAGAGGGACAGAGGGATTTGGTTCCGAAATGAAGGAGGATTGGGAGCTGTATCCAATACAATAAAAAACGGTGGCCATAAATGGTCCAATGCACTGAATTGTGTTACCCCAGAGGATGATAATTAACTCTTCTGGCTGTCAATGCTTACAGAGATTTTGCAACCCTGATACCTGACCTTTGGTAATTGTGTAGCCCTCAGATCCCAAACGTCAGAAGCAGGAGCATTGAGTTATAGTGGCATACAGCATGCCACTATAACCACAACTTTAGCTTGGCCACACTCTGTGACCATGTTCTGTAATATGTCTGCAGTTTCTGAATGTTATATGTGGATTTTAGGTGGCATCAAGTAGATGAAGCCCCCTATATACTTGTGTGAGTTGACTACAACTGTTGTTTAGAGTCTCAGTGTGAGCTGAGCAATCCTTATCTCTTCTCATTGAAAACAGGGAAGGCAGGTGGAACTGCCACATGTGTAGCTTCATACCACAATACACAAGAAAGGGAAGGCAGACGCTTCTCTGCTTACTGTTTTCGGGGAGGCATCTGTCAATCTGCGGCCACCCTGAAATAGGGTCACTGCAGCTTCCGATAACTGAGGTTTAGAGAGGTTACTGGCCTGTCCAATGAGACCTTCTTTCAAAACCCATCTTTTGTGGGACAGAACCAATGCTTTCTCACTACTATGATCACTATTTTCACACTGACCACCACAGTATCATGATGCAAGGTATACTTTAGTGTGAATTTTGAAAAATCATTCTCATGCAACCTTATAGCTGAAGTGAGACATGAGCTTTCAGAGCTACATCTGAATAAAAATCTCTGAAAGTTCTTTACAATCATTAGCTCTTGGAAACAGCTAAATAAGGGCCTGTGTCAATCTTTGCTTCACTAAGGTATTGCTTTACCATACAAGTTTTTAGGAATGCAAAACTACTTGAAGCAGGTCACATGCAGGTCTGAAGGACGTCAAGTGCAGGTCAGATGCACCTATCAACTATTTCTGAATGATCTCAGAAGCATCTCACAACAGTGTCAAACAAGTCCAAAGCCATTGGGCCAAGAATGACTTCTTTACATGCTCTCATGACAGGACCACACAATTACCACTGTTTATCAAGAGCTGAAGAAATGCTCTGCCTTGACACTGTATGTAGCGATTTCTTTATAGGAGGACGTAAAAAGTAAGAGTGTATTTAAAACCTTAAAAAAAAAAAAAATTTGAATAGAGCATGGAATTGTAAAACCCTTGTTGTGTCTGTGTTCTGCTGCAAGATTTCCTTTCACTTCCTATTCCTGCAGCACGTAAGTGGAAAATTAACCCAAAGTGAAGGAAAATTCCTTTTTGGACAGTTTTCACCAACATGTTTCCCCTATAGGAAGATTTGCCCTCAGCTCCTGTTCTGGTGAAAACTGTAAAATATTGTATTTCCCATCACGTATTGTCACTAGGACAAATAGAGAGAGTGAAATTGCCCCAAATGTGACAAAAACTTTATCAAAACTTGAAAGTGGGCCAAAAGCAAAGACAAACAAAAATATTTGCCTTTTAGATATTCTCTATCATCTGACATGCTCATTTGACAGCATGTCATTGGATTAACAAGAGAGGTTACAATAAAAATGCAGCTGAAAATCTCTGCGTCACCTTGGGCAATGCTCTCACACGGTCACGCATGCAGTAGTTGTAAACACAAAGTCTTCACTTCTGACAGGGTCATAGAAAAAAACAGGTGACAGGGAAAGCACATTTTACTAAAACATCCATATTTATTAAAGTAGAATACATGCACCCCCAAAACTTAGTGTATTGCACTTACATAAATAGAGACGAGTCTGTCCATTCTCCCCTGCATCTATCCGCACAGCTAT